ACGGCGATGGAGATGATGGTGATGGTGATGGTGATGGTGATGGTTATAGCAAAGCTGATGATGACGATGATGATGACGACGCCGATGACGACGACGATAGCGATGATGGCGATGGTGATGAGGATGGTGATGGTTATGGTGATGGTGATGGTGATGGTTATGACGAATATGGTGATGAAGATTATGGAAGTGGTAATGATGATGACGACGATGGCGATGATGGTGATGGTGACGGTGATGGTGATGGTGATGGTGACGCTGATGATTTTGATGATGTTGGTGATGATGTTGATGACGACGACGATGGCGATGATGGTGATGGTGATGGTGACGGCGATGATGATGGTGATGGTGATGTTTATGAATATGCTGATGATTATGACGACGACGACGATGGCGATGCTGGGAATAGCGATGATGGTAATGGTGATGGTGATGGTAATGGTGATGGTGACGGTTATGACGATGCTGCTTCTGATGATGATGATGATGATGATGATGATCATGATGATCTGGACGACGACGACGATGGCGATGATGGCGATGGCGATGGTGATGGTGATGGCTATGACGATGCTGACGGTGATGACGACGACGACGACGGCGATGATGGTGATGGTGATGGTCATGGTGATGCTAATGGTGGTGGTGGTGATGATGATGGTGATGGTGATGATGCTGCTGATGATGATGATGATGGCGATTATGATGATGATGAGGAGGATGATGATGTTGATGAAAATGACGATGCCGATTATGATGATGCTGACGAGGACGATGATGATGACAGTGATGGTGGTGATGATGAGGCTGTTCATGATGATGATGATGATGATGATGATGATGATGACGATGATGTTGATCACCATCAACATCATAATCAACATCATGACCATCACCATCACCATCATAATCAACATCATGGTGATGACGACGAGGATGGGTAGGGGGGTGGGGGCAGGGGAAACTGAACTCGGCGCGACCGACAGCATGGGCATGCTGATTGTTGAAACATGCGAGTTCGGTGACGCGTTTTTTGTTATTGTATAGTGTTGCATTGCGAAGCATACGTTTCTCTGCAGCGCATTGCACTTGCACTTACATTGCAATGCAGCGCCGTGCTCCACAGAGCAAACGCAGTTTTATTGCGTAGCACAGCGTGGCGCAGCATATCACAGCATAGCCACTCGTAGTTTTAGCAAAGCGTAGCATTACCATCTCATTGCACGGCTAACTCATTAGCATGACCTATGTCATTACCAGTCGCACTACAAGCACGCCATAGCATACCACAGCATGGCATAGCATTACGTAGCCCAGCCTGGCATAGCACGGCACAGCGTCTGGTCTGTTTTGGCAGCGCGCGCGCACCACATCTCAGCACACGAAACCGTCGAGCACGCACCATGGCATGAAGCGGGGAGACCACCACCCGCACCCGCGTTAGAACACCGCCACCACCACGGCACAGCACAGCGCCAGCGTGAGTTTTTCGCGACGACCGGGCGCCCAAGGCCAAGCTCAGCCAGCCTGCAGAAGGCGTACGCCCGGCGGCGTTTCTCGTCAGAGAGCAGGTGGGGGCCTCTCGGGCAAGCCTTGTCGGGGATCAAGGGCGGGAGAATAGGAAGAGTCGCATGTGCTTTACTCCCCGAACAGCTTGTCTGCAAGGGCTCCGCATTGTGTTTCCAGGGCATTCCGCATTTCCTCCTCCTCCTTCCCCTCCTCTTCCTCGTCCTCCTCCTCCTCCTCCTCCTCCTCCTCCTCCTTCCAGGGCCCGGTGCTGGACCCCGGGCCCCGAAACCGCTTGCCCATCGTGGCCCCCTCACCCACGTGCCTGTGCACGGTTGGCTGGGGCGTTCTGCCGCGAGGGTTGGCATCAGCTTCCGCCAGTCTGCCAGCGGGGGCCCGCGAGGGTCGATGGGCCTGAGACGGCACGCTGGCGAAAGACAGAAAGAACGGAGAGGAGAGGAGGCGGAGGAGAAGACGCCTACAGCCGCTCAGGTCAGCTGCTACGTGCTGGTGTGGATCTACTCCCCTGACGCCTTGACACCCGTCCCCAGGTTCTCCTATTTCCCTCTCTCTCTATCCCTCTCTCTCTCACTCTCTCTCTCTCTCTCTCTCTCTCTCCCTCTCTTCCTCTTTCTCAGCCCTCCTATGTGTTGGGTCTTCGTTTTGAATACGCAGCGCAGCGCGTCCTTGCCTCACCTCCTCACTCCCGCTCCTCCTCCTCATCCCCCGTCCCCTCCCACCCCTCCTCCTCTTCCACCTCCTCCTCCTCCTCCTCGTTCCTCCTCTTCGCCGCCGCCGGCAGCTGGCGCCGAGGACGGACCCGCCCAAGGTATCGAAATGGGGTCGTGTCGGCCCATTTCCTTGCCTTCCCCCTTTGCCGAGTGAGCTCCTCGTTCCTCCTCTTCCTCCCCTTCCCTCTCCCATTGCCTCCGCCCCTGCGGCTTTGCTGCGTTCCTTTCGGCACACCCATCAGGAGGATCGCGGTCTTCAGGGAGCTCGACCGAGGGCCCCAGTGCGTGCGTTAACATGGCGTCGCCCCGCCGAAGTCGGCACACCCTTCGCACGTTTCGTGGCTTCGTGCCCCCCAGGGACCTCCACCGAGGGCCCCAGTTGCTGCGTCTGCACGGCTTCCTCCCGCGTTTCGTGGTCTTCAGGGAGCTGCACCGAGGGCACCAGTGGCTGAGTCCGGCGAGAAGGCGAACGAGGAAATCCAGCCGCGAACCGGGAAATTCGGTCCCGAACGGGACACATTTTTCCTCGGTCGATCCGGGAAATTCTTTTGTGGTTTCCCAGGATTTGTTCCGATCGAGCGGGGCAATGTGTTCGCTTCGACGACGGAATTTCCTTGGCCGACGGAGGATTGGTTTTCGGTGCTATCACGTGTGCTGCTGGACGAGGCTGCCCTAGAAACGGAAATCGCTGGAGGGCGCGGCTGGGTGCAGTCGGCTTTAGTGTTCGAGCTTTGGGTTGGTTCTTCAGTTTGAGTTTCCATTTCCGTAGCCACATAGGGCCTAGGATCCACTTCTCAGGGTTTCCAAGGGGATCGCTGGGTCCGAGAGTTCTTGGGAACGTTCGGCTTTCGAACCTTCAGGCGTGGGGATGTCGGGCGTTTCTTCGTATGCGCCTGGCGGTGTGTCCTGGGGAGGCCCGGATCGTCCCGAACGGCCGCCGGAGGCCCGAGTTATGATCCGAACGCCACCTGGGGATTGGCTCAGGGGGGGAACCACCGACCTTGAATCGGCGATACATCGCCGACAGATCGGCGACAGGCCCGTCAGTGGCCAATCCTAGCGTTCTTGCGCGGGGCGGGGCTATCAGACCCTTGTCGGCGATATAAATGGGCGATTGTGGGTCGATGCGTCCCCCCCGAGTTTACAGTCGAAACTGATAGGAAGGATGAGTGATGAGGATGATGCAAGCCCCCGTGGGCGCCCATGTCGAGGCTCTTCGCGCGGGGCTGGTCATCGAGAGTGGCACAGACGAGGCACGGATGCAATGCTACCCTTCGGAAGGTCATCCATCCATGCCATAGGTTTCGACTGCATCCCTCCCTTTCGTTGCCCCTGACTGACGTTTGCACGTCCCGTGCCTGCTTCCGAGCGCTTCGGCCGCCCCCCCGTCGTGGCCGCCGTTCGCCCTAAAGTTGAAAATTCGGCGCGGCCGAGAGCTGCTGCGAAAAAGGGAGAGTTTTCAAATTGGCGCAGGCGTGTGTTATTCAGGTGTTCGTTTTGCATTTTCATGTTGTCGCCGTGCGTTGGAAGAGGGAGGTTCGAAGGGTGTAGAGTGGGTCTAGAGAAACGATTGCGTTTACAGGGCTCGTTGTTTTTTCGCGGGCGTTCGGGCCTTGCTCTGGCGTGACTTTCCTTGTCCGACGGCTCTTGTAATCGCGTGTTGGATTGTTCGTTTTGGCGTAGCGTTCGCTCGATCAACGGCTATTGCCATACATTGAAAAGTCGCAGTGGCCGGGAGTGGCCGGGAGCTCGTGGGAAAAAACGGGAGTTTTCAAATTTAGGACAGGCGCGTGTTATGCAAGCGTTCGTTTTGCACCATCACGCAGTCGTTGTGCAACGGCAAAGGGAGGTTCGAAGGCTCGGCCCAGAGGAGTTCCGATAGGACCCTCGCGAAGGCCCGGAGAGGCGGTACTCGTTGAGTTTTACAGGGTTGTTTCTGTTTTCTATGACGTGCCAAAATCTAAACACCAAGAGGGCTCCAAGACATTGAGCAAGCGATCTCGCGCCCTCAAAATACGAGCGCTTTCCCGCCCCGATGCCAAGTGCGACGCTCGACTGGGTGCCGCGCACATTCGTCTCAACAATTCTGCAGAAGCTTCACGCATTGAAGGCGGGTCGTTCTCAAAATGCGATTCTCGCTCTAGCGCAGCGCAAATTTGGTATAAACTTTTGCGGCGGCTTCACGAGTTTTGGACATGTCGTTTTCCAAATGTGGCTCTCGCTTTAGCGCCGCGCACATGGCTTCTAACAACTGTACGGGTTTTACGGATGGGGGTGCGGCTCCTTTTCGAAACGTGGTTCTCGCTCGCCGTAGCGCTGCGCACAGCATTTTTAACATTTTGCAAGACCCATGGTTAACGTACAAGCAACGGTGTTCTGGAGCGATGCAGGATTGTCAGGGCGCAAAAGTTACGTTGATTAGTGGTGCTGGAGTCCCAGGAACGGCGTTCTGGCACGAGCCAGGATCGCCAAGACGCAACAGGAAAGTTGGCTCGTGGCGTTGACTTTCCAAAAAACAGTGCTCTGGCACGGTTTAGGATATTCAAACGGCTGTCTCCCAACGGAGCATTTTCCTCTGTGGAAATTAATCCGTGTAGCGGCTTATGAGGAGGGAGCTTCGAGGGTTTTTTTATACATATATAAAAACATCGTTAACGAGTCTTGGGTTTAGACTGGTCCTCTTCCTCCTCTCTGCTCCTTCTCCCTCTCCTCCTCCTCCACCTCGCTCCTCCATGTCCTGTCTCGTTCGCAGATGGCAAGGTGGCTGGCTCTCCTGGTCGCCTTATCCGGCTTCTTCTACCAGACCATGGACGCGATGGACGCAGGGAGTTTTGGATAGAGCACCCACACTGCCTCCTTGACAGAAGGGGTTGAAGGAGGAGGGGGGGGAGAGAGAACCGGGAGGGGAAGGTGGAGAGCGACAGGTGTCGGAAACAATTAAGCAACACCCGCGCATAACATATGGTGTGACCTCCCCCCCTCCCCGCGAATGCGGGGAGAGGGGGGGCTGTTGCTTAATTTTCCTTCACCTGGAGGAGAAGTGGCGGGAAAAGGAGAACGGGATGGACAGTGATGATGAGCATCTTAAGCGTTAGCATGAGGAGGAGGCCATGGAAAACGTGGTAGTAGGATATGAGGAAGAGGAATGGCATGGTCCACTGCAATGTGTATTTCTACTGATAATACGAATGCTAGCCACGAAACTATCATTGTTTTGTTACCAATAGCATCACTACTAAACTAAGTATAGTATTCGTATTGATGTTGTAAATGTTATTAGTGATATAAGCTCTGTGTATTATTATCAGTATCGCTATCATCCTTCATATTATAGGGCCCCCCCCCGGATGGGCGTCACCATGGTCAGAGCGGCCCCAAAGGGCCACTGGACGCCCGAGATGGCTCCCTGAGAGCGTCCTTCCCCAGCCACCGGCGTCCCTGAAGGCCGAGCAACACAGCTCCAAGACGCCCAAAATGCCACAAGATCGGCCCAGCTCCCGCTTGCCAAGCCGTCGCCTCGCCATGGCGTCTGGGCAGAGGGCGGCGAGCCGAAAGGGAGCGGCGCAGGCAAGGCCCAGCCGAAGGGTGGCAAGAAGGGCGGCAAGGTCGGCATCGGCGCGGAGTCTGGCGGGGGCAAGGGGGGCGCGGCCTTGGGACCTGGTGGCCGAAACGGCTTCCCTGATGCGCCCTCGTCGGCCTCGTCGCGGTCAGAGCTCGACCTGCTGCTGGCCATCCCTGATCCCGACATCTCCGCGCGTCTTCGTGAGGCGGTGGATGCTGCGAGGGGATACAGGCCGCCATCACCAGCGGCTACGGAGAAGACGTTGGAGCAGCAGCTGCAGTCAGCTACGGACCGCCGAGTCAATTTCCAGCGCCAGCTCGACGACGCTGCAGACGCCATGGCAGCGGCGGAGGCGCAGTTGGCTGACTGTCGCAGCTGGCGCGACACCTGTGCGCTCCACCTCGCCGAGGCGCAGGCCGAGGAGGCCCAGCTCCTCCGCCGTCGCGCTCGGGCGTCGGGAGTGGGAGCGCCCTTTCTGGAGGTGGACAAGCAGCTCACCTTCAACTTTGACGCCGAGTCCCTCGAGAATTTCGGCGAGCTTGAGGAGGAGGCTCAGGCGAACCTCAAGCGCCTCTGTGCAGAGGGCCACAACATCATGCGGGTGGCCCAGCAGTTCTTCGAGCAGCAGTGCCAGGAACAGCTGCGTCGCATCAAGCAAGAAGCTGAGGAGGCGATCAAGAAGAAGCGGAAGATTGGTGACGACACAGCGGATGGCCAGGCCACCCCTGCGGCAGCGGCTGAGTCGCCGACGGCCCCCGCGACCCCGCCTGCTAGCGAGGAGCCCGCTGGTGAACAGCAGGAGCCTGCGGCGGCAGCGACAGCAGCAGCACCCGCAGCAGGTGATGCCATGGCGGAGCAGATTCGCCGCAACGCGGCGAAGCTCGGAGCCTCAGCCTCGGAGAATGCCCGCCTGCGCGCCGAGCCCAAGGTGGGTGGCCAGGCTGCTCCAGGGCCTGCTGGTGCTGCAGTGATGCTAAGCTCCGCGGGTAGCCACGTGGGCGTGGATACACATTGGGGCGCGGGGGAAGGGGATTCAGCCCCCTGTCGTCGAATTCCCGCGCCCTCGCACTCTACCAGTTCGGCCACGCTTTCTCGGTGGGCGACATGGAGTACAGCGAGTTCGGCGATTGGCACGGCCTCTCCCTGCAACGGTCGGCGTGGGCCTCTTCAAACTGGAGTGACGGAGCCGCGGACGCGCGGATGGCAGCCTCCCCCTCCAGGTGCCCCACTGCCATGGCCCCCGACGGGGGGGCGGTCGATGCCCGTGGCAGCGGGAGGAAGAGTTGCCCACTGCCCCGTCCAGAAGGGAGAGGCCCAGCCACATGAGCGACACAGGGGTACCTGGAGCTCGTGGAATGCGACGCCAGGGTTGGCCTCTGCGACGACATGCTTTTCGGGCACGCCGTCAGCGGAGACGACGAGGTCTGGGATTGGCATGGCCTCTACCAGCAACGACTGGCCTGGCACGCTTCAAACTGGACTGAGGGAGCCGCGGACGCGCGGATGGCGGCCCCCTCCTCCAGGTGCCCCACTGTCACGGCCCCCGACGGGGGGGGTCGTTTCCCGCGGCAGTGGGAGGAAGCCACATGAGCGACATGGAGGCACAAGGAGTCCAAGGCAGGCGACTTCAGGACGGGCTTCCGCGACTACATCCATGATGGCATCTTCGGGCTCGGCGACTGCGCCTACAAGCCTGGGAACCGCAGACCCCGCCTGCCATCCTGGCGCCCAAGGGCCTAATAGGAGGGAGCGTCTCGGGGGGGCCCAGGCTGGGACACTGCAGCTGGATCGCCTGCTTCCCGACAAGGGTGCTCTGGTACCTGCGCCTGGGCAGCTGGAAGGTAAGCTCATTGTGTGCACCTACAACGGCAACACGTGGATGTATAAGAAGGAGATGGATGTATAAGAGTGGATGTATAAGAAGGAGATGGCACCGCACGTGATGTTTGTCCAGGAGACGCGGTTCACATCCAACATGGCGGTCGAGCAGGCCCATGGTTGGGCCAGCCGAGGAGGCCGCACTCTTGCAGCCTCAGGAGTCCTCCGGACTGGAGATGCCGCCACGGCAGTTTCGTCGGGAGTGGCCATTGTATCCTCGACGCTGCTTGGCACCGCGAGATTCCTCCAACCTTGGGATGGAGCCGAGCATCGCTTCATTGCTCGTCGAGTCTCGGTTGGCGAGGGCACTGCGATTGCCATGATCTCAGTGTGCCTCGAGGATTCGATAGGGCTCCAAGGGCCCGACAGGCAGCTACTGGAAGACGTTCACTCGTGGTGCGCGCACCTGGACGTGCCCTTCATCATTGGTGGTGACTGGAACATTGAGGCCAGCGAGATGTCAACCTCAGGCTGGCCTGAGCTCATGGGAGGAGTTGTTCTGGCCCCAGGGCTGGCCACATGCCATGATAATGAGTACGACTACTTCGTGATCTCGCGCGCGCTGGAGGACCTTGTGGACTCCATCAAGTGCCACGTGGACACCCCCAGCGGCCCGCACCAGGCCGTCGCGCTGGCGTTGCGTGGCTGCTGGAAGCGGCCCATGATCCAGACGCAGCGCGCGCCGAAGGGGTTTGCGCTGGAGTTTGAGACCGGCGAGGAGGCCAGGACCAGGCGCGACCTGCTGGTGGCCACCCTCCCCTGGCCCCCGCCCTGCCCAGGCCTAGAAGGAATAGTTGAGGGCTGGTTCGATCAGGCTGAGGAGGCAATGCAGGCGCTGCATGGCATGCGCAGTAGTGAAGCCAAGTAGTACAAGGGCAGGTCCAAGGGCCTCAGGACTGTCACAGTTCCCTTGGAGGCCAAGGTCCAGGAGAACCGCTTCGAAAGAGCGTCAGAGGTCACCCAACTCTGGCTTTCGCTGCGCCACCTGTCCAAAAGAACTTGGGACTTGGGTCCCATCGGGCCGAACGGCCTGCCCAACGGCTACAGGGCCAGACGAGCGCAGCAGCTCCTCGAGTCAGCCAGCCGCATGAAGGTCAAGTTCCAGGAGCAGTCCATCACGATGTTCGATGGCACGGTGTTCCTGAGTTTCTGAAACGAGATGGGCCTCCAGACGGAGTTGGGCTACACATTCCTACTCGTGATGGAACAGGTTGTGGCCAAGCACACCAAGGAGGATGCAAAGGCCAGCAAACTTTCATGGGGCGACTTCTCGGAGCAGGCTTTCTTGCGCCAAGGTTTGCTGGCCCACAAGGTTATCAAGGAGACCCACGGAGAGCCCAGCCCCGTCCTTGAGGCAGGTTCGGTCGACCATGCACTGGTGGGCCAGCCTTCGCTTGAGAGGGTGCTAGCTGACTGGCTCCCCCTCTGGTCTAACCCCAGTCGGAGCGGCCAGGAGCACCCGGGCTTGTGGGACGTCGGCGAGTGGGCTCTGCCGCCGATCCCGGTGGGCGACATCAAGTTCGCGGCGCGCAAGTTCTCCAGGCATACGGGCCTTGGCTGGGACAACTTCCACCCGCGGCTGCTGCTGGAGGTGGGAGAGGACATCCTTGCTCGGCTCGCCAGCTTGCTCAACGCTTGGGAGCGCGCTCCCTACTGCGGCGAGCTGTGGACCGTGATCATGGCATTCCTGCCGAAGCCCGATGGAGGGCAGCGGTCCATCGGGCTCATGCCGCTGATGGCCAGGATCTGGTCAAGGGCGCGCCAGGGCTACACGGCCAAATGGGAGAGGTCGCTGGAGCAACCCCCCTTCTGGGGTACCTCAACTTCGCGAGGGCGTGACACAGCGGCGTGGCTCCACAGTGTGTTTGTAGCCCACGCCAAGCACATGCAAGGGCACATGCAAGAGGAGGCCGCGTCCATCTACATGGATTTGCAGAAGTACTACGAGCACATTGGCCACGCCGAGCTCAAGGTGGCGGCGCGGGCCTGGGGCTTCGACCTTGGGCTACTCAGAGCCCTCTGCGTCACCTACCTGGCGCCGCGGCGGGCGCGCATCAGCTCCTGCCTCAGCGAGGCGGTGGCGCCCAACGGCACGGTCGTGGCTGGTTGCTCCTGCGCCACGGCGCTGGCGAAGCTGCTTTTGCTTTCGGCCCTGCGGGCCGCGGCGGCGGCGACGCCCATGGCCAGGCTGCTCAACGTGGTGGATGACGTCTCGGCCCACGTCGCAGGGCACCGCTCCATGGTGGCCCAGCAGCTGGGAGCCACCTACAGGGCCTTCTGCGAGAATGTGCGCGAGGCCAACCTGCCACTGAGCAGGCACAAGACCAAGGCGCTGGCCACGAGCAAGGAGCTGCGCCAGGCGCTGATGCAGCAATCTGGCTGGGACCTCGGGCCAGACGACTTTGTAGACATGCGCCGGGACCTTGGAGGGGACGCGGTCTCAGGGTCGTACCGCCGCGTCACGACGGCGGCCACACGATAATTACAGGCGCGAGCTCAGGGCAGGAAGCTCACCAGCCTTTTCCGCCCTGGGCTGGACCGTGCGAGGGTCTACCGTGCGGGCCCCACGGCCAAGGCCACCTGGGGCTCGGCCATCATGGGCGTCCCGAACGGCAGGTTGCGCCAGCTGCGTGTCGGGGCGATCAAGGCGAGGGGACGCTTGCCCCGTGGAGCAGCCTAGGGGCTTGCCAGCCTAGCCCAGGCCAGTGGCTGGAAGAGGGACCCGCTGACCATTGTCACCAGGACCGCGCTCATGGCCTACGTCGAGGTGATCTGGGTCTCACTGCTGCCTGAGGCAGCAGCCCGCTCCTGCCTGGTCAGGGGCATGGAGCTCGCCCAGCAGCGGCATCCTTGGCGGCAGGTCAAGGACCCCATCAGCGCTCTGGTCCTCACATTGGATCGTGTCGGCTGGGGCTTCTTGCAGGGCGACCCCTACCTGGTTCACGGCAGCACAGGAGCAGCCTACGACGTCAGGAGGCACTCTCCCGCCTTCTTTGGCAGCCTGGTGGCGCAGCAGTGCCGTGTCGCAATTGGGCTGGAGGAGGTGGCCAGGCAGGGTCCCAGCATGTGAGGCTGGAGCCTTCCGTCTTACTGGCAACCGATCCTTGATCTGGCCAGTCATCGGTCGCAGGTCTGAGACCAGTACCACCAGCGGGCGCTGCGCAGCCTCATCCAGAACACCTACTGGTGCCAGGCTAGGGTGGCAGCGGCGGACAGCTCGCGGGCGGTGCCGTCCAATTGCCAGCTCTGCGGTTTCAAGGACGGCTCGCTTTTCCACAGGCGGTTTCGTTGCGAGGCGCAGGAGGCTTGGATGCGTGACTACTTGGAGGAGCCGCTGCGCGGAGCCGCTGATCGAGTGGAAGGCCTCGGCTTCCCGTTCACCGACCTGTTCGCCAGGGGCCTCTCCCCTGACATTTCGGAGTTGATGAATAGGCCTGTTCGCCCAGAGGCGGACTACTTCGAGAGTTCTACGAGCTGGTACACCTTGGGACCGCACCTCAATGGGCACCACGTCTTTGTGGATGGCTCGGGCCTCGACCAGGCCTACCCGCGCCTGCGCGCCGCTGGTTGGTCCGTGGTTACCTACGACGAGGCCTACAGGCTTGTGGCGGAGACGTGGGGAGCGGTTCCGATTGCTGTGGCCCCCGAGCAGCTGGCCAGCGATGGCGAGGACTACGCGGTGAAGGTCCTCACGTCGCAGGTGGCAGGGGGCAGCTACAGGCTCTACATTGACTGCATGGCCATAGTGCGTTGCGCGGCCAACCCGTCGGCAGCGGCCGCAGCCAGCGGCCAGCGTGCGCACCTTTGGGCTGGCCAAGCAGAGCAGCTGCGGGACGTAACGGTCGTCAAGGTCAAAGCCCACCAGGGCCCCAAGGCTGTCGTGGACGGCCTAGTCTCGCAGTTCGAGCTGGATGGCAACGCTCGGGCCGACAGGCGTGCCAAGCAGGGCGCGACGGCGGCCAGGGCGAACCTCGGCGACATCCTCGTGGTCGAGGGCTGCCTGTCGCTGGCCCGCCTGGCGGCGCGGTTCGCTGCCGCGCACGAGGTGCAGCTGTCGCGCACGAGCATGCTCGACTCCATGGGAGTGATGGCGCTGAAGCTCATCGACCTCGGCGAGCGGCCGCAGTGGCCAGCGGAGTTCGAGGGCGAGGGCGAGGACGTGCAAGGTGAGGCCGCGGCCAGCTCCCAGGCGCCAGGTGGCAGCGCCCCGTTGGAGCCTGACGCCGCGCCTGCTGGCCTGCAACCTTGGCGCGTCGCTGGGCACGCGCTGCTCGCCGCGCCCATTTTTGTGGATGAAAAGGCGCGTGAGGCCCAGCAGTCTTGCGGCACCCTCCTCTTTTGTACTACGTGCCGCGGGTACGTATCTGATAAACGGGGTCGAGGCCTTCATGATAAGTGTCCAGGAGGCCCGATCCCAAGTGCCAAGAACAACAATTCCGCTCTGAAGCACCTGAAGCACCCCATAGGGAACAGGCTTCTGGGGAGCTTGCGGTCGCCTGAGGAATCCGAGATCAATTTTTGGTCTGGACATTTTCCCCCCGAGCCTCCTGTGGTTGCCCAGACGGGTACCCTGACGGCTGGCCCTAAGAGGCCCAGCTTCCAGGAGGTCTTGTCTTCGTTTGGGCTTCAGCTGGCAGAGGCCCAGCTGTTGGGGTCCAGAGCCCTGGAGGCCAGGGCAGAGGCCCAAGCCCGCAGGGCCCGTGGTGTTTCGGGCCCCGAGGATCCCCTTGTCCTCTCTAGCGTGGTCCCTGGCGCGGCAATGCCTGGCTGGGGCTGAGTCTTGGAGGCTTGGGGGGTCCCAGCGTCGAGTTCGTGTGCAGGACCCTTTTGGGGTCGAGTCTAGCCTCCTCCTCCTCCTCCTCCTTCTCCTCCTCCTCCGTTTCGTCCCCCTCCACCTCCTGCTCCTCCTCTTCCTCCTGTTCCTCCTGTTCTTCCTGCTCCTGCTCCTGCTCCTGCTCCTGCTCCTCCTCCTCCTCCTCCTCCTCCTCCTGCTCCTCCTCCTCCTCCTCCTCCTCCTCCTCCTCCTCCTGTTCCTCCTCGTTCACCTCCCCATCGCCGTAGAGATCCCGAGCCCCCAGGGCCGAAAACTTCGGAACGCCCGTTTTCGCGCCCTCGGCTGTCACCGAAGGTATCGCTGGCACAAGGTTGTCTTTGCCCAGCCCAGGATTTGATTTTTGAGCCCCCTGAGCACCCCTCACGAGGCTCAGGGTCCCCAAGGGGCTCCAAAATGCCAGCAAATCTGGGGACATCTGGAGCAAGTACCCCCCAAAGCTTATCCTTTCTTCCTTACCCTCCCTGGAAGGGTGAGGAGGGGGGGGGGGGGGGCGAGGAGGAGGGGTTAGGAGAAGGGGGGGGGAGGAGGAGGAGGAGGAGGGGAGGAGGAGGAGGAGGAGGAGGAGGAGGGAGGAGGAGGAGGAAAAGGAGGAGGGGGAGGAGAAAGGAGGAGGGAGGTGGAGGAGGAGGGAGGAGGAGGAGGCGGCGGAGGAGGAGGAGGAGGAAACGGAGGAGGAGGATGAGGAGGAGGAGGAGGAGGAGGAGGAGGACCCCCTTCCCCGATGCTCTCCCGGTCTTCCTCGCCCACACCCCTCCCAGGACGGGAAGCAGGCGCGAAGGACGGGCTCGTCGTCGCCCATGGGCCAGCTCTTCGACCACGGGTGCGATTGTCTGGCCTGCCTCTCCGGGGGGCTCCCGACGCATCCACCACTCGGGCCATCTCTCCAGAAGCCCCCCCTGAGGGTCGAGGAGGGGGAGGAGGAGGAGGAGGAGGAGGAGGAGGAGGAGGGAGGAGGAGGAGGAGGAGAGGAGGAGAGAAGGAGGAGGAGGAGGGAGGAGCTGCGGAATTCCTCCTCCTCCTCCTCCTCCTCCTCCTCCTCCTCCTCCTCCTCCTCCTCCTCCTGGTCGCCCTCTATCCCGTCCTACTCTTTCTGATGCTGTTGCTGCTGCTGATCCTGCTGCTGCTCCTCCTCCTCCTCCTGAGGCACTGAGGCACTGACGGCAATAGAGTCTTCAGACGCTGCCGCTTCCCCCAGGGAGGCCTGGGCGGGCCCCCCTGGGGGAGTAGAATTTGGGGCCGAGGCCCCGCAGAACAGGAGGGAGGGGAGAAGGAGGGAACATAACATCACATCACCATCATCATACCCCGAAGAAGGGAAGAGGAGAGAGAAGACTCGAGTGGCGGCCGCGTGGCTGTGGGCGTGGCGGTGCGAAAAGCGTGGGCGGTGTGGGTGCCCCGTGGCCCGTCGTGGAAGGGTCCTCCTCCCTTCGGGTCCCCTGGCCACTCGGGGCCAGTGCCCTGGGGGCGCCCTAGGGTCCCCTGTCTACTGAGGTGTCCTCGATCAGCGAAGGATGGGGTGAGGGGAGGTGCGGTGGCGGCCAAGAGGCGAGACAGTGTGGTAGAGTGACAAAGTTAAAACAGTTACAAAGTGGAGGCCATGAGGCAGGCTGTGGGCAAAAGGCAAGTGGAAGTGCTGAAATGGCGGTGCAGGTGGCGGTGGAGTTGAAGGTTAAAAGTAGCCACGCGGAGATTATTCCGCGGGGCCCACTTTGGGGTGCCGCTCGCAGCGGGAAGGGCCCAAGGGCCTCTCCCTCTGCCCATAGGAAGCCCCCGCAGGCGTCCCACAGGCCGACGGCGGGATCTTTCTGCAAGCAGGAGTAGGGTTCCCAGCACGTCGGCCTCTTGGCCGCATTAGGGGGCTTTCACCGAGCGTGAGGGAGGTTTTGGGCCCTCCCCCCGCAGCGGCGCGAGGCAGCATCGGCCACGCTCGCCAAGGTGGATGGCAGAACGGCCTCCCCCCCTGCACATAGGACCCCCCTAAGCTGCCACCATCCCACGACTGGTACCCTCCCCCGCCGAGGCAGGAGTAGGGTACCCAGATCATGGGCACCTACATGGTCATTGTTCGTGCGCCTGAGCTCCGTGCTCTCGGCGCCGGGTGTTTCCGAGACGGTGGCGTCGACGATCCTCTACCAGGTGTACCAATGAGGCTTATGAAGGGGTTTACTGCTTGTGGCGTCATCTGCTCCGTCGGGGTGATGCCATCCTCCCTTTTCTTCGCAGGTGACGGCGTGTCGATGTCGACGTTCTCAGGGGCGTGGATGGGCGGTGGGTGTGGTTGGCCTGGCGGTATGGACCCTGGTGTCCAAGCTGGTGGTGTTGGCCATTCCGCCTCGTCGGTCTGCTTTTGCTGACGTGGTCGTCCCTCTCTGCGTCCTTGGCGGCGTGAACGTGTGGTACTGTCCCTGATGAGGTTCATCTGGTTGCGATACGAGTAACGCATGTACTTCGGCTTCTCGGAGCATCTCGTCGGACTGTGTCTGAGTCTCTTGTATTTCTCCATCCTCTGGTGGATGTTCAAGTGGAGGTACGGTTGGGAAAACTGTAGTTGCCGCGGTTGCGAAGTACTCATCGTCCGTGCCGATCGGTATGCTGAGGGCCTGGTTGGTGGCGTCGACCATCTCGACGCTGTTGAGGCGCTGCTGGGCGATGAGAGCCGCCTGTCGGGCGTGCTGGAACTCCTCTGCAGCTTCTTCGGGCCTCCTCTCGTGGGTCTCCTTGATTGCTCTCCACTGTGTCTCCCTGTCATGATATGCTTGTATCTCGTGTTGGAAGGTCTCGCGGTGTTCTGCTGTACCAATCTCAGCTCGCTGTAATGTAAGTTGAATTTGTCCTTCAGCTTGTAAAGCTTTGTAGTTCACTTGCTGCTCGTAGTTGTGCAAGTAGGTAGGTGATGGCCCGTTTGGAGGTATTCTTCTTGCTGCTTGGTGTTACCAGCGTCTTGTTTACGAATGTCGCGCTCGATGTTGGCGAGTCTCTGCTGGTATTCCTCGTTGGTCATGTGGATGGTGACCTCAATGCGCCTGTTTTGCTCCAGTAGTTCTTCTTTCGCTTGTCGGTGTCTTTCTTCTGCATATCCTCGGCTTCGACGGTCATATTGTAGTACGTTTGTCTTTATCCTGCTATCCTCTCTGCTTCTCGCAGATTCTTCTCCATGTTGTCCCGCATGTGGTCGCTGTCGGCGAGCTTCTTGGGCATTTCCTGGGGTTCTCTCTGTAGTTGACTGTCGTCTGTTGTGAGCGGCTGATACCCCATATCTGTTGTCGATCTCCTCATCGCTCCCATCTCCTCCTCAGCCCTTGTGAGCTTTTCCGCGTTGATGGTCTGCATGTACTCCTGGTGTGCTGCCATCTTTTCTGCCGCCTGCTTAGAACGTTGTATCTCCTTCTGTGAGCTCGCTGTGATACGTCTCGGCTTTATAGTCACATCGTGGTGTTGATTATGTTCATGCCGCCGTGCAGTTTCTTCCGTTGCTCGGAAGTGTCGTTTGAAGGGGGAAGGGGACGGGGTGTCCTCGTTTTTTTTGAAGTGTTCCGCCGCCAATACTGGAAACACACGTGTGGTCCGCCACCCTTCGGATTATGATGATGTTTATGATGATACTGATGATGCTGATGATGATGATGCGGCTGATGATGATGCTGATGATGATGATGATGATGATGATGTGGCTGATGATGATGATGATGATGATGATGATGATGACGACGACGATGATGATGATGATGATGATGATGATGATGATGATGATGCTGCTGCTGCTGCTGCTGCTGATGATGATGATGATGATGATGACGATGATGATGATGATGATGATGATGATGATGATGATGATGATGATGATGATGATGATGATGATGATGATGATGATGATGATGATGATGATGATGATGATGATGATGATGATGATGATGATGATGATGATGATGATGATGATGATGATGATGATGATGATGATGGTGGTGATGATGATGAGGAGGAGGATGAGGAGGAAGAGGAGGATGGAGGACGACGAGGAGGAGATGGACGAGGAAGAGAAAGAGGAGTAGGAGGGAGGAGGAGGGACAGGAGGGAGGGAGGGAGGAGGAGGGAGGAGGAGGGAGGAGGAGGGAGGAGGAGGGAGGGAGGAAGAGGGGGGAAAGAAGGAAAAGGCGGAGGGAGGAGGAAGAGGAGGAAGAGGAAGAAGAGGAGGAACAAGAGGAGGGAGGAGGCAAGAGGGAGCCAAGAGGGCCCCCACCCCCCACCGCCGCGAAAACGAAAGCCCTCGGCTCCGTCGTGCGCCCGAATCGGTACCGAATCAAAGGGCCTCCTCTCCCTCCTCCTCTTCCTCCTCCCCCTCCTCCTCCTCCTCTTCCTCCCCCTCTTCCTCCTTCTCCTCCTCCTCCTCCTCCTCCTCCTCCTCCTCTTCCTCCTCCCCCACGCCGCGAAAACGAACGCCCTCAGCTCCGTCGTGCGCCCGAATCGGTGCCGAATCGAATGGGGGAGGCGAACAACAACTACAACGACCACATTACCAACACGATCAACAACATCTTGCCCATAAGGAATATCTACGCCGTCAGGGGCACGACTGGGAGCTACCACCAAACGACCACAAGCTGAGGGACAAATGGAAGAATATCAGACATGCGGAGGAGCAGAACAGCGCAGCAGGACTGCCCACCGCCGACGCAGTCACGCAGATCGCCTTCATCAAAGCGATGGCCCTCAAAATCCCTCAACAGCATGCCCCTGGCCCAGCAGGCGAGGGAGATCGACAGTACCAAAGGAACCATGAAGACTAGTACCAAAGGAACCATGAAGACTACTACGAGCACTCCAAGATCCACCAGCAACAGATAGCGATCTACACGAACGAGATTGGGAACAAGATCGCGGAGCTCACCGCCCTCCAGCGCGACATCAGCAACGCCGAGACGATCGGCATAAATGACACGGAAGCTGCAAATGAGGAAGCAGACCAGCCACAACGGAATATACCGAAACGACGATCGCCCACACCAGCCCCCGCCCCAAGGAGGCACACGAGGGCAGGTGCAGTCACAGGCGGGCGGGACCTGGGCACCAGGACTTTGAAGGCAGACAGCCAGCGCATGGCCAACGACGTTGAGAGAAACAAGGCAGACGCGAGGGCAGCCGAGCACAGACCTGTCACGCCCCCCACCCCCCGCCCACGCCGCGAAAACGAAAGCCCTCGGCTCCGACGTGCGCCCGAATCGGTGCCGAATCAAAGGGCCTCCCCCCCTCCTCCTTCTCTTCCTCCTCCTCCTCCTCTTCCTCCTCCTCCTCCTCCTCCTCCTCCTCCTCCTCCAGGCGTGTCTTCAAAGCTTTTGAGAGCAGGACCGCGTCCAACAGCCAGAACTCGACAAGAGCTTCAGAGCCTCACGCACAGCATCATTGCGCGCGTTTTTCTGCAAGCTTGCTCTCCAGGGATCGTTTCCGGGCCCCAGGAACTGCGCGCATGCCCTCGGCGAAAGAGCGCTCTCAGCCATGAATTCAAGAGCTCCAGGACCCACGTCGTAAACGTGAACATCTGACGACGTCGGAGGCCTGTGAAAGTTGCAATGACTAAGCAAGCACGTTGATGCAAATCTCCTCACGCCTGGAAGCGTCTTCCTTTGCAGGTGCAGCTCTCGATACAGCCCAGCGCTTGTGGGGTCGACCTGCAGGCAAGGCCCCAAGCGGACGTGCGCAGGCGGCCTGCTAGGTACAGGAGGCCGCCACGGATGCCGACAGGGGCGGCAAGGACATCAGGGAAACTTCGAACAACAAAGATCCCGCGGGCAGCGCAGGCGAATACTGCAGGGCGGCCAACAATAGTAGCCCAGGTACTCCGGAAACTAGCAGCAATATTTGTGTGTATCTGAATGTGTGTGAGGCGCGCTGCAAACTTGAGGCACTCGTGGGATCTGCAGACCTGCAGCTCGAGGCGATGGAGACGCAGTGCGGCACCGCGCTCACCACGCCTTCTGTGCGGGCGGGTGCCGAGCGGCGGCGGTGCTCGTCCCGGCTGGGGGCAGGCGCAGGACCCGGGCGCGTCGAGGCTGTCCGTGCCGAGGAGGGCACGGCCGATGCGGATGCGGAGCGAGCAGCTGCAGCGTCTCCGCGTGCTGCTCGCGCCAGCGCGGCCCGCGTCGGCGGCGCTGCTGCCCGCGGGCTGCCGGCTGCGAGATGCCGCACGGGGGCCGCTGGGGGAAGGTGGCAGGCGCGAGGCGGCGCGCGGGGCTCCGAGCCCAGGCGCCAGGCGAGGCGGCACGGCGCACCCACGTCACACGTCAGGGTGGCTGGAGGCAGTGATCGCGACGACGAGGACGACGACGACGACGACGAGGACGACGACGACGACGACGAGGAGGAGGAGGACGACGACGACGACGTCGTTGTGCCGTGGGTGGCTCTTCCTCGCCAGATGCAGCACGGTCCGCACTCGAAGGGCCCGTGGCGGCCTCGCATCTGTGCGAGGCACGGGCAGGCGCGCGAGCGCCAGCATGGGCGACGGAGGCGTGCGCGGTCGAGCGATGGATGGTCGATGGCGTTGCGGTGGTTGGCCCGAGACGGCAGGGTCAGCACGATTGAAGAATGTGACGTTGTGGAGGACGATCAGTGGAGAGGAAGCATGTTGCCAAATACTTTCCAGATGTCCAAAACATGGGTTCAGCATGTTTTAATACACATGCTTCAAACATGTAAGAAGAAAAGGTTTGGGACATTTCCGGCATTTTGAACACAATTTAAGTTCAATGCTAGGACTGTTAGGGTGTCCATTGTCGTGGCATCCGCATCCCGAGACGGCAGGGTCAGCATGATTGAATGATGTAACGTGCTGAGCAGCTCGGCTGCTCAGATGCTGCGCCGCCTGGTGCTCCAGCTCCTTGCGGCCTCGGCGAGGGTCATGCGGCCAGCCCATCGCACGGCAGCTCCCAGCCGAGTCCACCACTCGGAGTTCAGCCAGATTCGTAGCATTCCGAGCCGCGCACCGCAGCGGTCACCAACCGATCCTGCTCCCACCCCCTTTTTCCTCCTCCTCCTCCTCCTCGTCCTCCTCCTCCTCCTCCTCCTCCTCCTCCTCCTCCTCCTCCTCCTCCTCCTCCTCCCCCTCCTCCCCCTCCTCCTCTTCCTCCTCGTGGATGTAGCTTCGAGGCCCCGAGGCAGGCCGACCCGAAGCGGACCGGCCCCGTGGACCCTCTGGCCAAGGGCCTCAGGAGGCCCGGCCTTGCTGATGTGCTCACCTCCCTTGGGCTCTCGCTGGCCCGAGCCCAACCGCTGGGGACCCAGTTTCCGGAGGCCAGGGCTCTGCTCGAGCAGGGGCCACAGTGCCCGCTCTCCTCTTTTGGAATCCTGGCATGACGCCCTTTTCGCGGGGTCCCACCTCGTGGGTGTCGGCTTTCTCTAACTCTTGACGCTTCGCGTATCCCCACCAGTCGGCGCCGCTTTGTCCCCCCGTCCACCGTGGTGGGAAGCTACCCGCGTTGTTCGCCGATGACTTGGTCCGCCGCTTCGGCGGGTGCCACCCTCGAGCTGGACTGCACAAGTGGTTCATCCTTTGGCAGTGTTCCAGACCTCCTGCAGGGTGGTCCAGGGTGCTCGGCCATGCCTGCTATCGCATCCCCCCCCCGACCCTCGGGGTCTGGCAGTCGCAGGTTTCGGACTCCATGATTGGGTTGGTCCGTGCATAAGGTGATCGCTTTGCCCGACCACGCTCAGGAGTCCTTGTGAGTGAGGCGTTCCTCGGTTCCCCGCTTCTGTCCGTGCGTTCTCTCGCGCCCGCCGCCCTTCCTTGCTCTCTCGCCTCGTCTTGTTTGTCGGAGCGGCCTCTCGGGCCCCCCGTGCTGCCACAGCGCAGCGTGTCGCACGCCAGTACGCGCTGGTCAGTACGGTTCGAGTTGGCGCCACTGTGCGACTTCTCTTCCGTCGTGCTCCGACTGGTGCCTGCGCCCCTGCTCCTGGGTCGCTTGCATCTCAATGAGGGGCATTTTGCCTCTTGCATGTGCATTTGCGTCGTCGGCCTACGTGCCGTCGGTGCCAATAATCTCGCCCTGCACCCCAGCCGAGCCCGTCCCGCTTCCTGGATCTGTCCTTGGAGCCGTCAATCAAAAAAGATATCCCCACCAGTCGGACCCCCCTCTCGGCGACAGCTTTACGCGTCTGCCCGCGACAAAAAGAAAGTACCCCCACCAGCCTCGCTGTCCTCCGTTTGTTCTCTCTGCGCTCGCGATCAAAAGTATCCCCACCAGCCCATCCAGAAGCAGATCGCCGGGTGAGCTGCCTTGATCAGGTAAGTGTAGACGAGTGCAGTGTCACAACCGCCCTGGAAGCGTTTTTCTCTATGGTCTTTTGGGGCCATCTTGTGAGCTCTCTTGGGGTCCTCGCGGGGCCTCTTGAAGTACTCTTGAGGCCCTCTTGGGGCCCTCATGGGGCTGGTTGGGGGGTCTGGGAGGCGTCTTGGGGCCATCTTGGCCCCATGACTCGAAAAGAGGGGGGCCAGGAAATTGCGCCGTTCTCCGGCCCCCCCCCCCCCCCAGGGGGGAGGTTCAAACACGACGCCATTGGGGCGCTCTTGGGCGCTCTTGGGGCCCTCTTGGGGCCCTCATGGGTCTCTCTTGGTGCTATATTGGGTCATTTGGGGGCCATGTGGAATTTTTTCAAAGCCAATCGGAAGCGACAAGGCGAGAACGCAACAAACATTTATGTTCCTAAGGTTTTAAAGCTATTTTGGTTTTTTGGGGAGGTCCGTGGAGGGCTTAAAGAGCACCTGAAACGTCTTGGGGCCGTCTTGAGGTCTCTTGGATGTGTACCAGAGGTTATCTGGACCCATCTTGAGCTATCTGGAGCAATCTCGGATGCCATTTCGCGCTCTCCGAGGCCCTCTTGGAGCCATCTTGGGCCATCTCGGACGCTCCAACCCCTCGCGGGACGCCCCTTCCAGGCCCCGGGGAGGGGGCAGGGGAGGGGTACCCCCCCCCCCCTCGAGCAGGGGAAGGAGGGAGCTCGGGCAGAGGGACGACAAAATTCGTTAAACCACCTACGCCCAGAAGGCTGATGGGGCGACTTCTGCCCCCCGTGGAGCGGCGGGAGAGCCCCCCGCCCTCGCACCACTGCACGGCGCAGATCGCCTGCCTGGTCGGCCCCACCCGCCTCTACATCAGCACCCTCAGCGCCTTCCAGTTCGGCTTCTTCCTGGCCCAGTGGCAGGACCACGGGGGCAGGGGCGGCGCGATCCCCCCCCGCCGCCCGCACCTCACCCGTCCCGCCCCCGCCCCTCCGTCCCTGCCACCGCCCCCGCAGTCCCCGGTCGCCAGTGCCCGTCTGCGTCCCGCTGCCCGCCCCCCTGTGCCCCACCACCGACGTTCTCGTGCCCGGTCTCCTGCCTCCCGCCCACAGTCCCCGTCCCCAGTCTCCGCCGTTCCCTCCCCCCTGCTCCTTCTCCTCCTTCTCCATCCCCTTTTCCTTAGAAAACAATTCCTCCCTGTCTCGCCAGGAGACTTGTAGGGCCGGCGGGGGCGTTTCGCTCGAGACTTCCTCACCACGCATGAGCATGATGCTTGACATGTGCAGCAGGATCACGGATGGGGGGCGGGTCGTTTTCAAAATGCGGTTCCCGCATTAGCGCCGCGCACATTCGCTGTAAAAGTTTGCAAGTGTTGAACGGATGGAGGGGGGGTGGTTTCCAGATTGTCTCTCGCTTTCGCGCCGCATATTCGTTTTAGCAGGTTGCTAGGGTTTCACGGATGGAGGTCGGGGGGGGGTCAAAATGTGGCTCTCGCATTCGCGCCGTTCACATTCGTCTTTACGGTTTGCAGCCGTTTCACGGACGCAGGGCGGGTGGTTTTCACAATGTGGCTCTCGCTTTTGCGCCGCGCACAGTCGTCTTTGAACAACGCAATAGTTTCAGTGATGGAGGCAGGGCGGTTCTTTTTCAAACTGTGGCTGTCGCGTCAGTGTACAGGAGTTTTGAGGGTTCTTATTATTGACGTCCCAGGAGTGGTGCTCTGGCATGAGTTAGGACCCTCAGGGCGCAACAGTCACGCTGATTCGTGATGATTCTTGGTGTTGGAGTCCAAGGACTGGGTGCGATTCGGGACTGTCAGGGCGCAGC